AACAGTGGATCTCGGTAAGCAGAAGCTACTCAAGCACCTTTGAGCACAGTTTCTGGAGGTTTCTTTCAGCTGTTAGCATCATCAGTAGCCAGCAGGCCTCCAAGGGAGAAAGCAGATGAAATTCAGGCTTGCTGCAGACTTTACATCAGGCAGAGGTGTCTGTGTGGCCCCCTTCTCCTTGGCAGAAAAATTCTGGCACAGCGGAGGTACCTTAGCAGATCAGCAGTGCTGCCTCTGCCTTTGGACCGGGTTTCAAAGACTTGGACGACACAGTGGAAAACGAAAGGCCTGGAACATTCTGCGGCTCTCAACAGCCCCCTTCCCTCCTCCTGCCCTTTGTGTGGTAGACGCTCCTTTGCTGGGACGTCTTGTCCCTCTGGCCAGCTTTCCATCTCTGGGATGCCTTCCTGACCACCCGCGCCCCTGAGGTGGGACCCCACTGGAGCCCCAGCACAGTGCGTCTTAAGGATCTGCACCCGCATCTTTTCCCACAGGGGCCTTGGGGTCTTGATGTCGGGGAATGTCCTGGCATCCAAGCATCAGGGACACATAAAGACACAGTCTAGTTTGACTCAGACTTTGCCACTTTAAAATGCATACAATGCTTTGTACTGAAAGAAAAAAAAAAAAACCTCATGAGGTAACAGAAAATAAGTAATAAATGATTGCTTATGAAAGAATTCTTGATTGGGGAGGAAGAAGACACGAGTTTGGAAAAACAAAACCCTCACCTCTTTGGAGTCCGGCACACGTGTGTTTGAGCTCGAGCTCCTACACTTACAGACTCCACCTCTGGGCTCGTTTTTAACCTCCCTGAGCTTTGTTCTCTCCTCCATAAAATGGGAGTGATTAACACCTCCTAAGAGCCTCCCGTGTATTTAGTTGGCTAACACAGGTAGTGATGAACACAGGGTCCTGAGGCATTTGGTTACAGAGAGCTATAACTCATATGATGGTAGGAAGTATCAGTACATCAGTGTCTGCCTTTGTCATGTATATTTTGACTGAGGTTTCTCTGACGTATTTTTGTGCTCGTTTCAAGACATCTTTTTGCTATTAGATTGAAAACCATAGCTTGTGAGTCACGGTCTGCTTTATATCTGGAAGAAGCCCGGGCTTGTTTTCGGTGGGTGCTTGGTCAGACACTTAGATCCTCATCTCTTTTTATATAGTAAACAAACGGATGCTTCCAGAGCACAGTCATTTTGCAAATTGCATAGCGGCCTGCTAGTGGCATAGGACGGGCGCTGCTGGGTAGTCCTCCGCAGACGTGACGCACTGCTTGTTGATATGTGCCGTCTCTTCAACAGCGTCGTTCAGACTCGGAGATGCCCCCCGGGTGTGTGCTTCACACCAGCTTTCATGGTTGCATTTTGTAAACCTTCTCTCGTCACGTACTTCTCTGCACAGTACTGTGAGAGTTTTCAGCATTTTATCAGTTTATGGCATTCCAGTGTCCTCCAGAGACTCAATGTAGACAAACTTAATTGTAAAAAGTAAAATGATGATCTTGTTGCTAAGGTTCTGACTTTCTTTTCACCTATGACTGTAAGGCATCTATCACCCAGAGAGACACACCGCAGGTAACAGCGGTCCCTCTCACTTAGCTGGTCTGTGTGTTGGGAATTGTGTCGGGTGCTTTTGCATAGTTTCTTTCTTACCGTTGCAAAAGCCCAGCAAGATGGGCATCTGTATTCTGTAGTCAAGGGGGCTGTGGCCCAAACTCTTCACGTAACCGGTCCGCGGCTCTGCCTGGAAGGGCAGGGATTCCAGGTGTCTCTGTAGCTCTGAAGCCTGCGGTGTTTCTCTTCCTCAGCCTCTGCCCCCAGCCCCACACAGGACATTCGCTTTCCAGTCACCTCCCACTGTGAACAAACCTTGCTGTGAGGGTTCAGCACACCACCAAACCCTGGTGCCGTCCTCCTGAAGAGGTGCAGGCCTGATGGAGGCTCGGCGTGACCCCCTCCCTCCTCCTCTGCCCCTCCCTCGTTCTGGGAAGCTCCCGTGTTGGTTTTGATGAGTTTACCTCTGAAACCTCTGCCATCTTAGGCCTCAGAGGCAGTGCCAGGACTAGGCTCATCCTTACTCGGTTCTCTGGAGCTCTCTTCATCATCACTGCATTGGTGAAACATAGATGATCTGGGGAAAACCTGAGTTCAGGGCCCGCGTGGTCACAGGGAGCTTGGATAGGACAGAGGCATACAGGGCCCTTGGGTCGTAGCAACCCAGGCTGCAGTTGACACGTGGAGTCTGAGCGTTCTGTTCAGTGCTCTTGAGAGAGACTATAGGAGGTGGGTCTTTTCGAGGACTACCTTGATTTCTATTTTTTAAGGAACTGCCATCTTTAGAGTCTTTAGTGAATGAAATATTCTGGTTTGCTAAAGTGGTGAGAATTACCCATTTAGATCAACTGTCATTTATATACTGAGCATACACTCTTGTCCATGTAGTCTTCTAGACTCTTTCTCTTTTTGTTTTTTAACATAAATGTATTTACTTATTTACTTATTTATTTATATATTTTGGCTGTGTTGGGTCTTCGTTGCTGCGCACGGGCTTTCTCTAGTTGCGGCAAGCGGGGGTTACTCTTCATTGCGGTGCGTGGGCTTCTCATTGCGGTGGCTTCTCTTTGTTGCAGAGCACGGGCTCTAGGCACGTGGGCTCAGTAGTTGTGGCGCGTGGGCTCAGTAGTTGTGGCTCGCGGGCTCTAGAGCGCAGGCTCAGTAGTTGTGGTGCACGGGCTTAGTTGCTCCGCGGCATGTGGGATCTTCCCAGACCAGGGATGGAACCCATGTCCCTTGCATTGACAGGTGGACTCCTAACCACTGAGCCACCAGGGAAGTCCTCGACCTCTTTCCCTTGCACAATATTTTTTCGACTCCACCATGATGTAGGCTGAACCACCCTAAAATGCAGATCCAGAAAATGAGGCTGGTAGAGAGGCAGACTTGTTCAAAGCACAGAACCAGTGGAAAGTGCAGCTGGATCTGATTTTAGGCCCATCCGTTCCTAGTAACCATGCATTCTTATAATGAAATGGATTAGACATTTTGCGGGGGGGAGGAAGAGGCTTAGGAAACAGCTTATGTGCTTTCCTTTTTTTTTTGAATTTTTGAATTTTATTTTATTTAATTTTTTATACAGCAGGTTCTTATTAGTCATCAATTTTATACACATCAGTGTATACATGTCAATCCCAATCGCCCAATTCATCCCATCACCACACCCCCTGCCGCTTCCCCCCCTTGGTGTCCATACATTTGTCCTCTACATCTGTGTCTCGATTTCTGCCCTGCAAACAGGTTCATCTGTACCTTTTTTCTAGGTTCCACAAATATGCGTGAATATACGATATTTGTTTTTCTCTTTCTGACGTACTTCACTCTGTATGACAGTCTCTAGATCCATCCACGTCTCTACAAATGACCCAATTTTGTTCCTTTTTATGGCTGAGTAATATTCCATTGTATATATGTACCACATCTTCTTTATCCATTCGTCTGTCGATGGGCATTTAGGTTGTTTCCATGTCCTGGCTATTGTAAATAGTGCTGCAATGAACATTGGGGTGCATGTGTCTTTTTTTTTTTTTTTTTTTTGCGGTACGCGGGCCTCTCACTGCTGTGGCCTCTCCCGTTGCAGAGCACAGGCTCCGGACTCGCAGGCTCAGCGGCCATGGCTCACGGGCCCAGCCGCTCCGCAGCATGTGTGATCCTCCCGGACCGGGGCACGAACCCGTGTCCCCTGCATCGGCAGGCGGACTCTCAACCACTGCACCACCAGGGAAGCCCCTGCATGTGTCTTTTTGAATTATGTTTTTTTCTGGGTATATGCCCAGCAGTGGGATTGCTGGGTCATATGGTAGTTCTATTTTTAGTTTTTTAAGGAACCTCCATACTGTTCTCCATAGTGGCTGCATCAGTTTACATTCCCACCAACAGTTCATGTGCTTTTCTTGATGCATCGCTGTGACACGTAATAGTGTTATTATAATAGTGTAGTGGTGGTGGAATTATGAGCCCCAGTATTACACTGGGCTGTGACTGAAAGGAGGTTTGGAGACGCTGGTGAGATATTGTGCTCTGTTGTTCACTGAAAGGTCTGGTTTCCCATGCTCTTTGAGTTCTGATGTAAGCTTCAATGTTTGTCTCAGTCACAAATGGTAGTGAGCTTGCAACTAGGGAAGGTCATGACCTTTCTTCTACTTGTTGTTTACAAAGGCTTTTTAAGGGAGTATTGGATTTTTACGACTAGCAGACAGTGGAGCAAGAGTAAACTGGCATTGGGAAAGGCCTCCTCACTTTGCTATGAACTTTGCTTTGTGTCCCTCACTGATTTTTCTGACTTACTTCAGATGTCCAGCCAGACTGCCAAGTAGCGGAAGGTGGTAGCAAGTAATTGCCCAGTAAGTAAGGGGTCCCTGAAGGAGGATGGGCAGCCATACCTGGGTTCTCGGTGTGGGGTGCAGGGGCGACTTAGAGGCAGGCGAGGCTGGCTTGGAATCTGGGCTCTGCCCTTGCTGTCTGGGTAAGCTGGCAGTTCCTTCTTTGGTGACTCAGTGTTCACACCCGAGTAATGACACGGTCACACCTTTCCTGCGAGAATATTCTAAGGAGCACGTGAAACAATGGAATATAGGGGACTGAGCATGGCGCCTGACGTCTGATGTGTGTCTGAGGGACACGGCTTCCCTGCTTCCCTCGATGCCTCTGCTCCTGCCCTGGGCGCACTGACATGGTGTTTGCCGAGGTCGGGCCCAGGGGTCCAGCCCGCATCCCTAGTCCCGGTGCAGAAGAGGTACCACGCAAATATTTGTTGAGTGAATACAACCCCTAATTTGGTCGTTGCTATGGCTACACAGCAAATATACAAAAAAACGCATTGGAACAATGTTCTTGATTTGCCCTTTTTTTTTTTTTTAATGCCTCACTGCTCCTTCAGCCTTAGGGAAGTAAAGATGTTTACAGATATTTCTCTGTTTTGTTTTTTCTTTTTTTCAGTGCCTGAAACAGTATGTGGAACTCTTGATCAAAGAAGGATTAGAAACTGCAATTAGCTGCCCTGATGCTGCCTGCCCCAAACAGGGCCACCTACAGGAGAACGAGGCACGTTCAGCTGGGAAAACTGGGGTGCACGAGCATGGGCTCCTCAGCGGATCGGGGGTTATGGGTTCTGTCTAGGCTGACCTGGCATTGTAGTCTAGCCCTCAGATTGTTATACTCCTTTTTCTTTTTTCCCTTAGATTGAGTGTATGGTTGCAGCTGAAATCATGCAAAAATACAAAAAGCTACAATTTGAAAGAGGTAGGTGCCCCAGTGTCTTAGCCCGTGACAGAATCCGGGTAACTTCGGGGAGTGCTTTGGGTGATTGTGATTATATATCACTTGGCTACAGCAGAAGTGAAAACATGGATGTAAATTAGACTTCTAAAGTTCGGCTGTCGTTTGAATTCTCTGCAGAGCTCACAGCTGGAAGGCATCTGTTGGGGATCTAGTTAGGAACAGGAAAGATTCGTGAACCACAGCTTGCTTCTAGGGGTTTGGGATTTTGGGGGTAGTTTAAAGAGACCCTCGTGGGGCATTATTCTCCAGCCAGGTTAAGGCCTAACAGTCTGAGAACTAATTCTTTGACCTCCGGAGAATTTAAGAGATACAAAGGCCTGGAAGCAAGTCCCGAGGTCACGCAGGGTGGAATCGTGGCGCTCGCCATCCTGACCGCACACACGTCCATCACCTTCACAGGCTGCGTCATGCACGCTGGGACCAGTGGGTGCTGAGTCCTTAGTTCACCAAGTCTCCCAACAGCCCGACAAGGTTGTCTGTTAACCTGACACCCACAGAGACTAACTGACGTGCCCTGATTTCCACCTCTGGTGGGTAGTGGGGTGGGGTGTGGACCAGGTCCCCTGCAGTGCCCTGCCCAGCCCTGCTGGCTGGAGCCGGGCCGCTGCAGAGTTCAGACACGCTGAGCGTCCGGGATGGGTCTTTCTCTTTGCCGTCTGAAATACTTCAGGATCATAACATGGTACTTTAAAGAGTCTGTGGATTCTGTTTGGCCTCGTTTTCATATATATTCTGGACCTTGGGCTCATCTGAAAAGGAGCAGAATAAGACATGGGTAGAAGATGCTCTCTATGTAAAGCTTTATTGTGAAGATGCTGCATCCGGACTGTAAAATTTTCAGCTCAGTTTGTGAGCACTGAAGTTTGCTCCCCGCTCTTCCTGGACTGGTTCTCGGTCCTTGCCTGGATCAGGCATTTATGAGAGATGAAACCCTGGGTGGCGTGTTTACAGGAAAACACCATCAGGATGGGAATGGAATGCGGAATAGACTAGAGGAAAGTGTCCAGAGACTCTTAGTTTAGCTGAATGTGGAAAGTTTTCTTTTCTTTTTTTTTTTAAAGAACTGCTAAAGATAGCTGCGTTTCCTCTTGAGGCTCACTTCTCAAGAAACAAAAAAAAAAGGTAATGTGTGGCCAACCTAAAAAAAATCAAACGGGATTTTTGATGGCATTGAAATTTGTTTTCAAGAGTTTATTTATTCAAATGCCATATATTGTTTGGTTTGGGGCAGTTTATAGCTTAAATATAATACCATGTGATACAAAAGTCAGTATGTGGAGCAATAAAATTAAGTTGGATTTCTGAGACTTTGAGCGTCTTCTGAAAACATTTTCCAGTGGGAATCTTGACAGAAAGTGGCAGTTACTTGGGTTACAAGAAAATGAACTTTCTATGACATTGAATTTAAAAACGCAGCTGGGTAAATATTCCTACATAATAATTTTAACTGTGTTATTTCTTCCGAACTTTAGCTTAGTCAAAGATTTTTTTTTTCCTTTGCATAATAATGAACCCAACTCGACTTAGGTTAAAAAAATATCTCTCAAACCCATCACTTTAAAACATTTTTCTAGCAATACGTTCAAAGCAGCAAAACACACAAAAAGGACTCGGACTTAATAGGACCAGAGACCGGTCTGAATGAAATGTTAAAATGTTAGGGCTAATAAAATACAGCTCTTGATTATAGCTGGTCACTGAGCAAATTCTGAGACAGGATCAGTGAGCAAGTTTCAACGTACTCCCTCCCTTTGAAATTCGTTTTCAAATGAGGATGGTGACTGGATTAAAAGTGACAGTTGCCATGATTTTCTGACAACCGTTAGTTACTAAAAAGTCCTATGGTTAAAGTTTCAAACACTGTCTTCCTGTGAACTTTGCACATCTCATCTTATATCAGAGCCTTGATTTCAGTCTGAGTTTCCCCACTCCTCCAGCCAGGTCCTTGGGAAGCAGGAAGCCAGGAGGGAGGCTGTGAGGTGCTTTCTGAGCACCTACTCTCCCAACTGGAAGACCCCCAAGGCTGGGAACAAACAAGCTTCCAGGGAATGTCCATCGCCCTTGCCTGCAGGCCCCACTGGACTACACACGAGCTCCTATTTGGGCACCGAGCACACCACACTGCAGGCATTTGTTTATATATCCAGGGCAGTGAGAATGGACCAGTATGAGTGGGGATGCTGGGCCCTTCACAGTGTGCTTCTCAAAGGACAGCTGTGTTTAAGAAAGAAAAACATCTTTATGTGGCACATAGGTACAATGGAATATTACTCAGCCATAAAAAGAAACAAAATTGAGTTATTTGTAGTGAGGTGGACGGACCTAGAGTCTGTCATACAGAGTGAAGTAAGTCAGAAAGAGAAAGACAAATACCGTATGCTAACTCATATATATGGAATCTAAAAAAAAAAAAAAAATGGTTCTGTAGAACTTAGGGACAGGACAGGAATAAAGATGCAGATGCAGAGAATGGACTTGAGGACACGGGGAGGGGGAAGGGTAAGCTGGGACGAAGTGAGAGAGTGGCATGGACGTATATACACTACCAAATGTAAAATGGATAGCTAGTGGGAAGCAGCCGCATAGCACAGGGAGATCAGCTCGTGCTTTGTGACCACCTAGAGGGGTGGAATAGGGAGGGTGGGAGGGAGGGGATATAGAGATGTATGTATATGTATAGCTGATTCACTTTGTTATACAGCAGAAACTAACACACCATTGTAAAGCAATTATACTCCAATAAAGATGTTAAAAAAAAAAAAAGGAAAGAAAAACATCTTTTAAAAGAGTTGGGCTTTTTGATAAGTAGAGCTGTTAGGGAACTGCTTCATTAATCTATTATGAATATACCTTTGGGAGATGGGAGTTAAGATGAGTTTCTTCTAGTGTGCAAGAAAATACACTACTTGCCTTGTGTGAAAATATATACAAATATGTATATATATATAAAAGATACAATATTTATAATAGTTATATCATATGATATAATGTATCTAATGTATAGTATAACATATATATGTAATACATAGGTAGATAGACAGACATAGATATGTGTGTATATACACATCCTGGAAAGAAAACCTCTGCTATTGCCCGGTGTGGATTTTCCTGTTGATTGCATCCCATCTTGTACAATCAGCTGGCAGACTCCAGCAGCGGGGTGATGATGTAGAATTCTAATAGACGTCTGAGAGAGGAGCCCAGGCTGTGCCCACAGGGGCATGTGTGCCAGGCGCACGACAGAAGGGTGTTCTGAGCTAGCAGATCCATGGGGCAGAGTGTTTGCCCTCCACATCTCCCACAGGGAGTCTCTCCCATAGGGATGGGCGGTGCCATAAGGACCCAGGTTGCACAGTTGAAGTCGTTACCGTGGAAACCCTAACTGGGTCTCCTCTGCTGTGCGCTGCATGATATAATTGGGCCTTTCATGAAAAGCTCCCCCCCGCCCCCCCCCACCCGCCGGCAGCCACGCGTGCCGTCTAAGAGGAGTGGACGGAAGATGGCGCTCTGCCGTGAGATGCAGGCAGAGATTCTGCTGGTCCCCTCCTGATGTCACAGGCTTCTCAGAGCAGAAGCGGGGAGCGGTGGGAACTGGAAGGGTCTAAACTGGACAGTGTTGTCCCTTTAGGGGCAACAGCACTAAACACCTTGCCAAGTTGGCAGGGAAACAGACCCCGCTGAGGACGTACCTGCCCGTGTCCAGCTGTTGGAAGGCCGAGCGCGCACATCCCGCAGCACTGCCCTCGGGGGCCGGGCACATAGGGGCCCCGTGATGTAGGTGCGGCAAACCCTGGCTCACCCACCAGCACACCAGTACCGGAGGCAGAGCTCTTAGAGAAATTCCAGATGACGGAGGGGGAGGGCCGCCTGCTAAAAGGCACAGGACCCTGGGGCAGCGGCCTTTGGTGTTTCCCCCGGTGCCCCAGGCCGCCTCTGCATCCCTCCCTCCGCCTCCCTCCTGCCTCCTCAGCCCAGGGGCCTGCAGGCCGCTGCCCCACACACGTGCGTTTTCCCAGAAAACCACTGCCTCGGATCGGACAGCCAGAGACAGTCTTAGAAAAGCCACCACTCTCAACTCATCGTGACAAGAGCGAACTTTACTCCTTCGCTCACTATTAGGCGCATCAGGAAGATTTTACCTTATTATAAAGAAAAACAATTAAAAAGTATCACATTTTCCTGAATGCAGGTGTTCCTCTGTATTAGCAAGTCTTCTAAAGCTTCTGCCGGACCTACCAATTTGATACTTTTGTGCTGTTGATTAATTCACCTTTTAAAAAAAGTTAGATTAGGTTAGGAGTCGGCCAGCCATGGCCAGTGGGCCAAATTAGTACGGCCCCTGGCTTGGGGTTATAAATCTAGTTTTATTGGACACTCATTTACGGATCAACACAGATGCCTTTGTGCTACCACAGAGCTGAGTAGTTGGATGGAGACCTCATGGCCCTCCAAGACTGAAATGCTTACTGTTAGCCCCCGGATTGGTGGTGAGATGGGTTTTAGTCCAGTTGTACCTGACAGGAGCTCATTCATGGCGGGCTGAATCCGCATTTGATTGGGGAGCATGGCAAACACACAGGTGGCCTGTTGAGGTGAGGCCCGGACGCCTGCAGCTCATGACAGCCCCAGCCTGTTGGAGTTCCCAGTGCCTACAAATCCTGTCTCTGATGTGGGTGAACCCACCCACCCTGGCCGTCGCTGGTCACGTGGCCGAGAAGCCTGCAAGCGCCTTTCACTGCTTCCAAGTTCCCAGCACAATGCAGTCCGTTCCTTCTCAAGAGCGACCCTCAGTGGCTGACTTGGAGGCCTTTGAACACACCCTGGAATCCTCTGGCCTCCCTCGCGGCGTTTTGGCCTTGCATCAGCATCCGTGTGGGTTCCTGCCCAGCTCTCCCTCCCGCTGGCCTGCATTGAGAGTCCAGTCACACTGGACAAAGGGTCCAAGGAACCAGTAACCAGGCTCACGTGAAGGACAGCTCGGGACCGTTATTTAAAGAAATGCGAGATACGAAAGCAGATGTGAAGGAATGGGAGGGTTGTGGTGTTCTGTTTTTCAAAATCAACTTCCTGACTGATTTCATCAAATCAGGCTTTTTAGTGACGTGGGCTCCATTTCAGAGGGAAAGCCTGCTGTTGAAGGGTGAATTTCATACAGTCCTTAGCTCAGGGCTTAGATTTGAACTTGGGAGGGAGAGAGTCATAAGTCAGAGGTCTGACCTTTGATGGGAAGAAGAATCAGCCATCGCCCTTCCCTCTTTTCCTTCCATCCTTAACCAGTATTTTGGGATGCCCGATGCACGCCCCACACTGGGCTAGGCTGTGAGGCTATGAGTCTGAAGGACGGGCCTGACTTCACGAAGCTATGTCCCAGGGCAGGCGGGCAGCGAGCAGCACGTGGTCCCTGGACCACAAGGCTTCCAGGATGTAGGGGCCCCTGAGCCACGAGGACTCTGGGGGTAGTTGGGGATCTGCTGTCCCCCATGTGAGTGGAGTGGGAAATGGGGAGTGGCTGCGGGGGAGGAGGTAGAGCCAGATGGGTCCCGGATCGTGAAGGGGATGTTATGTCTGACCTTGATTTCCTTTTCTCCCTTAAACACGTGAAGTCCGTGTCCATCAGTCTGAAGCCCCGCCAGATCCTTGGTCCTGCGGAGTTTGACTTGCCCGTTTTTATTCCCTGTGCCAGAGGTGCTCCTGGACCCCTGTCGGACTTGGTGCCCGGCGTCAACCTGCCAGGCTGTGTGCCAGCTCCAGGAGATGGGGCTGCAGACCCCGCAGCTGGTGCAGTGCAAAGCCTGCGACACGGAATTCTGCTCCGCCTGCAAAGCCAGCTGGCACCCTGGCCAGGGCTGCCCGGAGACCATGCCCATCACCTTCCTTCCCGGGGAGACCAGGTACGCTCGGGACACAGACTGCAGGCCGGGAGAAGGAATCAGGCTTCTCCCTCCATGTGCCTCTGGGGAGGACAGGGCTGCACCCCGGTCAGTCTCCAAGGTCAGTCTTCTCTTGGGTCCCATTCAGACCTGGATTTGTTTATTATTAAATTTTGAGAACTGATTATGTGCCTGGCACTGTGCCAGCCTCTGGAAATATAAAGTTGCATAAGAAACAGAGTACACTCTGCCCACCCAGAAAGGCAAGCATATGAACAGTCAGTTACTATGCAGGGTTTTAAGTCCTGTGATAACCTGAAGTTTTGCCAAGACTCCCTTGTGCTGAAGATGATCCGAAATGGGGGTGTGGGAGCAGAAACGAGGGGGGGCAGTGGTTAGAAACACCAGAAGGATCGCCAAATACAGGCTCCTGGTGCCTGAGGCCAAGGGGGCCACATGTCCCTGAAATGGGGGCCTTGGCAGGAAGGCTGCGGTAAACCACTATAGCGGTTTTGCCCTCCCGTCCCCCACCAGACCCTCAGCCTGGATGGCCAGGTGGACACCACAGCATCACTCTGTGTACCTTGAAATTTAGTAGGTTGAAGCATAGAAACTGATCGTATTCAGCTGTTTTGTCCTCCAGTATCTGCAGTGGCATCTGGTTCAATCAGATAGAGGTGGCCCAGCGCCTGTTGAGGCCAGTTCCTGGTGGAGTAAATCTCACCATCCACCTGAAGGTGTCACCAGCCTGTCTTCCTCTGTCCCCATCTGCTGCCCCCGCCCCTCTCACCACAGCTCGACCTGCCCAGGGACCCTCATGGCGACGCTGGACACACTCCTGTCCCCTGCCGACTGCACCTCTGCGCTGTGCCTGGAATGTCCCTTCTCTGCCCTCCTGCTTCCCCTGGGGACTCCTTGCCACCCTCGAGGACATGGCTTATGTCCCCTCTTTTGTCAAGCTTCCCAGGTCCCGGGGCAGGGTTGGAGACCCATCCTCTGTGCCCACCCTGAGATCGTCTGCATTGATGACAGCACCAGCCTGGTTGGCTGTGAGTTCACCTGTTTATGTGGCCAGTCCCTCCACTAGGCTGAGCTCTGTGTGTGTTTGGGCATTGTCACCCCAAATCTTGGCATACGGCAGGCGCCGAAACGCTAGAATGATCACTTAACTTATACTTAGGGTCTTGATCCTTCATAATTTTGTGAGGAGAGCCACACTGCGAGTGTGACAGATTACACATAACTGGTAGAGCTGGATTTCCAGGCTGGGGAAGAAGCAGGTAGAGGGCAGGCGGGGCTGTACCCTCATGAAGCAGTCGGGTGACTGTTTAAGAGAAGGCCCCGCTTAGTGAGTGAGGGGCTCCTCCCTTCCAAGAACCAGCGCAACCAGGAGTCAGGAAGAGCCGGTGTCCTGCTCTTGGGAGGGATGGAGAAGGGATCCATAAAACCTCCTTAAGGTGGAGGGTGGTGGGTGTTGGGAGCCTGACGACGTAGTATTTCTTCATCTGTGGTGCTCTGATTTCATGGAGGTCATTGCCCAAAGACTGCAATCATGTCACGGTGGCACAACATACGTGTATATTAAATCATCCGTGATATACCTTAGAAAGAACAAGAACAAACAAAATGAAAAAAAAAAAAATCAGGTTGTGCAACCTAAGAAACTGACACAAGGGCAATTTGAATAAGAACTCACAAATCTCATTTTGTGAAAATATAAAAAACAGATTTTACCCCCCAAAAATCTGACTTTCTGGCTTATCCAGCCACATGGAACTCCATCCCCACCAGGAGACAGGTGTCTGGAGCTGGGCAGCAACCCCTTCTTTATCTGGGGTTTCTGGCATCTTTACTTTGCCACAGTCCTCACCACTCCCTCTTGTCTCCCTGGCCCCTGGGCTAACTGTCAACTACCATTTATAACTGAGGACACACTCGGTTATTTTCATATAACAGACTTTTTTTTCCTTTAAGTTAAATCTTCCTTTAACCCCCATTCCCACCCACCACCTGACAAGCCCCACTCATTTATGTTGTGTGTTTGCCCCTTAAAGACATTAGACCACGTAAATTGTGATGAAACTGTCAAAAGACTCCTACCTGCCTTCACAAGTTTGAGTGTATAGTAGTAGTTGTTACTAATAATCATTTTGAATATAATTAAGGTACCAGAAAATGTTTGAAAACTGTTGTCTATACCGTATAATTTCCATGCCGCAATGCACCAGAACTTACATATTTTAACTGTTTCTGCTTGAAAAGTCTCCCTGAGAGGCGCTTTCCACTCTCCACTAACGTGGCCTCTGTTCATGGCATTTCCTTCAAAATTAGTTTATGAGTCACATGAGAAAATTGGTTTCATTATTTTAAGGTCACACCTGGCTTTCAAATCAAAACAATGTTTTCTAACCTGATAGTCAGCCTTAATCACGGGACTTGGTACCTCCTGACTTTTGGCCTTTGTTAGAAATCAAGCTCATTCCAGAAGGAGGCAGCTAGCGTCTGTGCATGGCTGGCCCCTGCCCATCCCCATGGAGGTACCTGCACCTGTTATGACAGCCCTGCTTCATTGTAAATCTCATTTTGTGCAGCCAGGCTGGTCCGCAGTTTGCTGTTAAATTAGAGATGAATTTGAGCTACAGTTGTATTATCTTTCAGTAATAATATTACTAACAACTAGCATTTATTGAGTGATTACTATATACGTGCTGGGTTCTATGTGCTCAGCACAGAGAAACTCTTTACATCTTCATCACCCGCTCTGAGACGTATGCAGTTTGCCTCATGTCTGCAGACGTGGAGACTGATAGTATGTACACAGCCCAGCTAGGGCTTGCATGTCTGTCTCCAGACCCCCTGACTACGAGGACATACTGCTTCCTTCCAGGTCGTCTTACCTGGTCACCTTGTACTAGTGAACGAAACAAGAAGCTATTAAGCTGGGGCACGTGCCCCACGGTGTAGGAGCCTCGAGCTTAGGAAAACCCTGAGACTGCAATTGTTTGGAAGCTCACTGATCCTCAGACAACCGTGTAAAGTGATGACATAATTAGGGCTGACATTCACTATGATGCTTATGGAAGATCCTTCAGCCAGAATTTACTCAGGATGCCAGAATTTGCTCACTTGCAGTGAATTTATACTCACGAATGCATTAGGTTCTGAAAAGGCTGCTCATCCCAATGGGAAGTCATTTTTCTCCTGGTGACGTTGAGTAGCTGCAGTGAGTTCAAGCAGTACGTGCCCCATAATCAGCGATGACTGCCCTTGGTGGCTTCCTTTTCCAGATGATTCCATATTTTTAGCTGTCTTTTAAGATGAATAGCATGGGATGGACATCGTTCTACAGTCAACCTAAAAAGATACCTAGGCCGTCTTGTTATGAACAGCATAGAATCATTGCTGCCGTTTACTGGGCACTTCACACAGGCCTGCACTGCCCTTTGCCCTTCACACACGCATGACCCCATCTGTCACACTCACACTGACCAGAAGGCTGGGCCTCAGAGAGGTTGCCACCCAGCCGGTGTGCAGATGAGCTGCACCTGACCCCGAGCTTAAATGGCACCATGCTCACCCCTGTGGGCCTGCTCAGACCTCTCAGGAAAACAGTTTTGTACAGACAAGCCAAGTAGATCTTAATAAGCGATTCGTGTGTATGTGTGTGTGTTTTAATATTTTTTTCTGATAATGGCAAAGAACATACCGTGTGTTATCAACCCTTAGGAAAGTACACAATTATATGAATAAGGGCATCAAATTCGACCGTAATCCCATTATTCAGAGACCTCCATTCTAAGCCTTTTGCCCTATTTTCTTTGGTTTGTCTGTGCACGTCTAAATTTAGACATGTGCTGATCTTGCTTTTTCTTTTCCCCAAGTCAAACTGGCTGCGTCACCGTTTTTCGGTGATTGTTTTCCAGAGTTCGAGTCTCTTTGGTTTCAACATATTTCACAGGGGACCTCAGTCCCTGTAGTTGAGCTAGTGCTTCCAGCGTTAACCTGTGCTGGCAGGTGTCTCCTGGCCCTCTGGCCCTCTGAGCACAGCCCTGATGCAGCTTCTCCCTCAGCAGCTCCACTTTCCAACTGGAGGAGGACGACGCGCCCATCAAACGCTGCCCCAAGTGCAAGGTCTACATCGAGCGGGATGAAGGGTGCGCACAGATGATGTGTAAGAACTGCAAGCACGCCTTCTGCTGGTACTGCCTCGAGTCCCTGGACGTGAGTACGCGGTGGGGGCTTTGGGGGTCAGGCTGAAGCCGGAGGCGTGCGCCAGCCGCTTCACTGAAGTTACACTGTCAGGCGTTTTCTCTGTGCGTATTTATGGTAATGTGAGCTCCCTGGATGCAGTGGTATCAAAAGATGGGAGTTTGTGCAGGAGCTCTGGGAGCGAAGGGTCAGCTCAGACTGGGCTTCAGCCTGGGTGTTAAAGGGGTGGGTGGGATCTCAGCAGCTCCCCACATCGGGGAGCTGACACAACAGACGTTGGTCTCTCCATGCTGGATGCAGGACGTCTGAGGTCAGCGCCGGCGTCCTCAGGTTCTGGAGCCGCTTCCTGGTGTACGGACGGCCGCTTCCGCTGTGGCCTCACCTGGCAGAGAGAGGGAGCTCTGGACTCTCTTCCTCTTCCTATAAGGACACGAATCCCATCACGGGGGCCACAGCCTCATGACCTCCTCTGAACCTAAACACCTCCCAGCAGCCCCACCTCCAAACACCATCACACTGCAGGTCAGGGCTTCAACACAGGGATTTGGGGGAATGCAAACAGTCCATAGCAGGGGCCGTTACTAGAATAGCAAGGATGATGGAGGCAGGGGACCGCGGATGCTGGGCGCAGGGCAGTTACTTTAGTGACCCTCGTGTCACCTGCAGGGCAGAAGAACATACAGACCCTCTGCCGTCTGGCAGGATGGCAGTTTCTGGCCTCATACAGCCACCGTCTCCCCAGTGTGCCCTGCGCTGTCTCTGCTGTTTGGAATGATGTCTGAAGCCTTAAAAAGTCCTTAGGGCCGTCAGAGGCTTTATGTGTATAGTTTCTTTATTTATCATATATACAATTATATATATAGTCCAAATATATAGTCTCTATATATCATATATAGGCTATATATAGTCTCCCTGTATTATACATAATATAAATATATATGTAAGTTGCATTTTACTGTATTTCTTTTTTTTGAAAACTGATTATTAAATTATGTTATATTATCTAAAGTCTGGCCTGCAATTTGCAATTCCTTATCAACTTTTCCTAAAGGGGGAAGGAAATGAAATGCCAGTTTTACCTCATGTTATCAAATCTCCTGGTAGATTTTTTGGGGGAAGTATTAGAAATGGACAGACACAGATTTCCAGAGGGAGCATTGCTTCTGCTGTGACCTCCCCTGCTACTGTGACCTCCCCGAGGTCTGTCCCCTTTGAGCCCAAAGCTGTTCTCTCTCTGCTCTGGTCTCTGGAGAGACACCCTCTCTGTCCGTCTGTGTGTCCATCTGACTTGGCTCTAAAGCACAGTCCCTGCCGGCCAGAGGCCCCGTTGTGTCCTGACTCTGCCCGGACCAGAGACAGAGGTAGCACAGGGCAATTTCCTCCTTGAAGGTCAGTGTCCTTGGGGCCAAGGGTGGCCTGTTTTCCTCTGTAGGTGATGAGCTGCTGAAAAGTGACCCTGTGACCACAGAAAACAGACCCTGAGGGACAGGGGGTCTGCTCTGTAGCGGTCAGTCAAGGACAGTAGCCGTGATTTAGGGCAAGTGTGTGAACGTGTGTCTGGAAGCAGCAGAGCTTCTGAGACGGAGGAGGGGCTTACACGGCCCCCTTCCCTCCTCTCGGGAATTTTCCTCTCCGAGCACCGGCTCCCGGGCACGTACACCTCCCGGAGTTATCAGTCATCTTAGGGTGATTCTTTCCACTCTCGTCCTTGCCCCTGCCCCCCCGCCAGGCCCCGCCCTCACCCGTGAGGCCCAGGACTGCACTGCTTCTTTGCTGCCCCTGCGGGCCCAACATTCACCGCTTACAGACAGAAGGGACCCGCTCGCCTTCTATCGTTTTTGGAGTTGGTGGTAAATGGTCCCTATTTATGAAGTGATGCTTACGTGGGCTGAAGGTTAGCCTATCTGTGACTTGCGCTGCACAGCCCTGTTGTTTCATACGGGCACTCCTTCTGTGAGAGGCGGAATGATTGTTTCCTGACCTTAAGAAGCAGTCCAGGAAGGTTAACCATCTTTCCCCAAAGCACCGAAGGAGTGAGGAACGGACTCGGCATCCACTCTCTGATCTTTCAGACCCTAAGACCCAACAGCTTGGGTACGACCAGTCACTGTCAGCCAGAGTAGGACAGGAAGTCTCACACCTTCCGTGGTGGAGCTGCTCTGAGGAATTCACTGTTATCTGCGAGCATCTGGTCCACCGTGCTCTCTTTCGCCAGCACCATTGTTTCTGCTTCCACCCAGAAGCTTGATGAGGCTTCTCTGAACAATGTAAGGGAAACATTCACTCTCACCATGCACCTAGGTTCCTGGCAGGCCCTGCGGTGGGTATACCCAAGGGCTTCATCCAGGAACTTAAAGTCACGATGAAATCACTTTTATATTGTAAAAGCAACTTGGAGTGCTTTTGTTAGGGAGAAGGCTTTTGTTTTGCTCAGGAAGCATGCCGTGAGTGTTGGCAACTCAACTCCGCATGGAGGCCTGGGCTGCCAGGATGCCGCTGGCAAAATCCGTGACCTTGAGGGGCTGGTGACCTCCCGACTGAGAAGCCCCTAGTAGCACCTGGTCCTCGTGAGCACAGTGCTACAGGACGGCTGGTGTGGAGTCCCCAGCAGCCCCTCCGGGGTGGGTCACTGGGTCTGGGGTGGGAGTGGGGTGTGGGCACAGCTATGGAGTTAGCTGACCAGGCAGAGGGCAGAATGTGGGAGACGGGTCACCTCCAGAGGACAGGACGTGGTCAGGAAGGATGTGGGCTGTACGTGGTCTGTGTCTGGCCAAGGCGGGGAACATGACCAGGGGCTCCGTGCCGAGCTAGAGCTGGACCTCTGGCACGGGGGCTCGTGCCCCCCAAACACTGGTCCAACAGCAGCTTGATGAGGGCCACGTGGGGCATCTGTGACCTGCGTACACCCCCACCCCCCGACCCAGAGTCAGGATCCGCGTTTCCCCAGGCGGCCCCAGGGACTGTAACGTGCAGTCCCCGGGTTTGTCCAGCTTTGCCAGGCGAGAGCCCTGAAGACTTTTCAGCTGGGTCACGCAGAGCAGCTCAGCTTGTGTTTCAGAAAACAAATCCAAAGGCTGTTAGGAGTCCACAGAGCAAGGCCGTGAGAGGCAGCCTGGGAAAATGAGGCTTAAAGTGGGACGTTACTCTCCGTGGTGTGTGGGTGAAAGAAAACAGAATTAGGAGTTCGAGGAACAGAGAGTCTCCGTGGACAGAAGTCATCAGAAATGGCCCCAGAGAGGACAAGCTCCAGCCAGAAGAGGCGTGCGTTCACCCGCGCCTGTGCTTCCTTGGACAGATGAGGGTCTAGGACAGGGGGTGAGTCGGGGGGTGACAGTCTGGGCCCTCGCCACAACCCCCAGAAAGCCAGGATTTCCTGATGCTCCAGCGTGTGTTCAGGCTCCACGAGGCCGACCTATAAAATCATCAGACTGGAGGCTCCCTGGGAGGACCACCCAGCGGGGCCGCTAAGGACCAAAGGACACCACCGCCCCCGGCTCTGCCCGGCCCTCGGAGGAGTGACTTCCCGCCTCAGACACGCTGGGCCTTGTGCTTATTTCCCCTTTTCTCAGAAAGAGGCTCTGTTTACAGGCTCAGTTAAGTGAACACACAGCGTCAGCCTCTCTCTTGTGCTGTTTACTGAGCTGGTCCTTTTCATGGACGATAGGAGAGAAAATGGCGCCTCCTGTACATGGAGAAGCAGAGGGCTTTGTCCAGAAAACGCACTCCTGTTCCTCGGTCGCTGCTCGCTGAGGTTTGGGGGCCGCGCACCGAGCCGGGGATGTGGTGAGAGAGGCTGACATCAGCTCAGGGTCCCGTTCCAAGAACCTGACGGTCTGGTGAAGGTTGTCAGGGGAAGGTGATTGGAGATGGAGGTGGGACGTGAGGACACCTGGAGGTGGTAGGGTGGGCAGGATGTTCCCTCGAGCTGTCTCTCACTTCTAGACAGTCCGAGGTGGAGGGTGGGTCTCCTCTTGAGTACTGAGAACATTTTCTTGGTCTGAGCTGAGAGGAAGGACTTTCAGGGCGAGGAGGATGGACCAGACATAAAGGAAGTCATTGCATCCCGGAATAATCCTGCCAGGGTGGCGGGAAGATGCACAAGCAGAGACTCGTGGGGAGTAAAGCACAGCCAGGGCTGGGGGCAGCTCGTGGAGCAGCAGGGGCCTCTGACCTACTTGTACAGAAGTCCTGCATCAGCACAGAGTCCCTGAGCCCGGCGGGGGTGGGGGTGGGGGAGCCAGGCTGCAGCAGAGACCGAAGCTGGAGCAGGGCTCCCTCTAGTGGCCCGTGAGCAGTCTGTCGGGGACGCTCCACGGAGGATGGAGAGCCCGGGGACTCACAGGGACCTGGGGTGGCAGCAGCTCCCTCTGGGTGTACGTTCTTCCTGTGCTGTTGTCCTCGTTCTCTCACATCCCCAATTAGAGCTTTAAAAAAAGAAACTGGGACCAGGCAGGACTCATTCACTGAACAGAGAGGACTGTCCCACCCACCCCTGTTTTTTCCTTTCCTTCTCAGGATGACTTCCTTCTGATCCATTATGATAAAGGGCCCTGCAGGAACAAGCTGGGTCATTCCAGGGCATCTGTCATCTGGCATCGGACACAGGTAGGAGGCCGCTCACCTCGCACTCTGACCTCTGGGGGAGAGGGGGAGAGAGAGAGTGTGTGTACATGTGTGTGGGGTTTCCAGGAGACTTGCCGGTTGGTCAAAGGTCTGTTATATAGAAAAACAGCTAGTAAATGGGGTTCCTGCCTGAATTTTTCCTGGACCAAGATGATGCTTTCAGTAGGCCTGGAATAAACATGCACCACACTTAGCCCCTGATGACTCTTCAACATCAGACTTTCCATTGCTTGCACCTACTCTTGACCTTGGTAATGACCCACTGCGCTTAGTCAATCCTTGCATGGCCTTTAATGGAAGAGCTTTCCATAGAGGCTCCCAGGTGAGCAAATTAGTCACAGAGAAGGGTAAGAGGGAAAGAATGGAAAGGTCCCTGGGTGATGATGTCGGTGCAGCTGGTATGGTTATTCATACTTCCAACACGTATTTATTTCCTATTGTGTGCCTGGCAGTATTCTAGGAGCTGGGAATACTCCAGTGAATAAGATAGATGCATCCTTCTCTGATGGAACCCACATTCCGTGTAGGGACAGATAACGTATATATATATGATGTGAATTCAGCTACAGGGGAGGTGTGACTGGGGAGGGGTCTTTTAGATGGTGTGGCTGGGAAGGCTTGTTGGAGGTGTTGCTTTAGGACTGAGCACTGAGTGTTGGGGAGCCGGCCATGGGAGTAGGTGGGACAAGGCAGAGGAGACAGTGCAAGCAGCGGGGAACGGAGATGGGCTGATGGGAGGAACTATGGCATAAAGGTCCATGGGGACCAGGAGGCAGCAGTGGTCAGAGATGATCAGAGTTGACCCCATGGGCTTTGCAGGATGAGGTGCGATCTTCGGGGTGTGCTCTGGGCACGGGGGGAGCCCACAGAGGGGAGCTGCAGGCAGGACTCAGGTGTGCGCCAGCTCCTGGGTACGGGGAAGAGCCTTGATGGGCTCCGACCATTACCACATTGTCGGCATTTCTCAGCACAGCCTTGAAGCAGGCGGTCTGGGAGATGCAGGAACCGAGACTCAGGCAGTTTTGTGGGAATAGAAGGAGACCACCCGTAAGTGTGCTTCTTCGGTGATCCTCACTGCAGACCACGTGGCAGGGCTGATGAGCCCCCAGGTGGCCGGACAGTAGACGGTTCTGGCTTTGCAGGCCATAAGGTCTCTGTTGCAACTATCAGCTCTGCCTGGTAGGGAAGCAGCTGCCGCAGCCAGTAGGCCAGCAAAGGCCCGTGGCTGCATTCCAGGAAAACACTTTAAACAATCAGGTGGTAGCATTGACTGTGGTGAAGGTTGCACAATTCTGAGTGCACTAAAAACCATCAAACTGTGCAGTAAATAGGTGAGTTGTGAGGTATGTGAGTTATAGCTCCATAAAGTTGTAAGAACCAAACTAAACAAAACGGACCGCGGACCAGATCTGGCCCGAGGGCCAGTCTGCCGACCTCAGCGTGGAGAGTGGATTTTAGCTGCATTTTATTTCGTCCTCCTGGCCAGTACGGCCAGCTCCAGTGCTCACCCCTCCACCTCTGCTGTGTAAAAAAAGCACCCCAAACAACAGAAATAGACTCCCTCGCGGTTCTAGAGGCCAGGAGTCTGGAGTCGAGGTGTGGGCAGGGCTCCCTCGGAAACCTGTAGGAGGGCCCCGCCGGCCTCTTCCGGCCCCTGGTCGTTCCCTGCAGTCCTAGCTCCCAGGTGCGCCTCTCCAGTACTTCATGTTTCTCTCTGCACATCTGTCTCTGTGTCCAAACTTCCCGATGGATAAAGACAGCAGTCATAATGGATCAGGGCCCATCCTGGTAATGTCATTTTAACCTGATTCCCTCTGTAAAGGCCCTCTTTCTGCATAAGGAGCTGTCTCTCCATGTGGCCTGAGCTCCCTAAGAGCACGGCAAGCTTCCCAGGAGAGTGTGAGAGCTGTGGAGACCCTGTCCAATAGCAAGGCTGGGCTGGGCGCTCACACCTCAGCCCTCGTGCCTGCTTATCCGCGGGAGTGAGTCACGTGTTCCTGGGGTCCTGGAACAGTTGCAGTTCCTGGTAACAGTCATTTAGAGAACGGGCCCTTGAGAAATGCAGAAGCCTGGATGGGGGTCCGTAGCCTCCCCTGTTGTTGAGGAAGGATCCTGGGGGCACCTCCCACCAGCCTCTCTCAGCATCGTCGGTCGGCACCTGCCAGGGGCACCTGCTGAGTGCCAGCTCTGAGTCACCCCTGGAGCCACATGGACAAAGGAAGCCCCCCCCCTCCGCCCCGATCTCAGGCCCCTCTCGGTGCTGGTGGAATTGAACAAAGGCACTCGGGGTGCAGGGGTCTCTTCCTTGGGGTGTGAGGAACCCTGGAGACACACAGGGCTGTAGACAGATGTCCACACATTAGTGTTGCATTTGGGGTAAACAATAAAATATGAGCGAGCAGTGTCAAAAGGAAAGTAAGGGAGTCACGAAAACTAGCAAAGCATGTGACATATAAACCAGGAACGAAGGCCAGAGGCTTGGGAATTAGCGAGGGACATGGTGTGCAGTGGAAGAGCCCCGCCCAGAGCAGACATTCGTGTGCAATCACATGACCAATTCGCTCTTAAGCCTTCAGTTTTCATAGTTAGAACCGCCTCCCAGCACATGATACAGAACCTCCATTACTGAAAGGAACTTGCACTCTCGTAATTTGCTTTTGGAGGTAAAGCATCCACGTGGAAGCTGGGAAAGGCCTCCCTTCCCTTGTGAGTCTCCTGGCTCTCCATCCGATTGGTGGCCTCCATTCCCTTACCCCTCAGACGGGCTCTGGCTCAGGGCACGTTCATCATCTGCTTCGTCAGTGATCCGCGAGTGGAGTTTCACTTTGCATTTATCACCAAGTCTCTTAAGCAGAAATGCAGGTTTGATTATCTTCCATCAATTTACTCAGGAAAATTGCATTCAGTGTCTCCCTAGCGCCCGGAAGTCATAGTAGGCGCTGATGTCCAGGTGCTCTGGGATGGCGGGCAGGCCCCCGTTCCATGGCCTGACTCTGGGTCTCCCTCCGCAGCCCCTCCTCTTTTTCTCCTCGTCACTCACTGGCCTTCGGGACGCAAGCCCCCAGCTGTGCTGTGTCCCTCTCCCTGGCCCCGCTGTGGCCCCGCTGTTGTCCTGGTCTTCATCACCCACCCCTCTCTCTCCCTGTCTTGTCCATGCCCAGCTCTGCACGTCCTAATTCTGCCCCCTTCCCTGACCACACTGAGGGCTCACAGCCCGGGCCTTCCACCTGCCCTCGTGAACACCTCTGGAAACACGCTTGTTGTGCGGCGGCCCCTGCCTTTCCCGGCGCTGTTCCAGCCATCGTGCGTAAGAGACAAGGGCGGCATTTCTTTCTCAGTCAAGTAAATCTTCTTCCTTAGGAGGCCAGCACCTGACAAGGGGGAGTCGCACCCGCACTGGCTCTTCCTTTTCTTCTGAGCAGGAGACCCACCTCCCTGTAAAGAGAGAGCTCACTTAGCCCGAGGGTGGCATTTCACACGCGGCTGATTGCTGATGCCTGTGTTCACACATGGTGGAGCTGTCCTCACTCAGCCCCCCCGAGGCCAGGCTACAGGGCAGGGGCCTCGTGCAGTGACCTGTTCTGAGGGTGTTTTTCACTACGCTCAGGAAAATACACGCAAGTTGTGTCTTGTACTTGAACTAGACGCCCAGTCCTCTCTGTCTTAAGTGCTGGGGCCTTTGGAATCGCTCTTTGGCCACAGATGTTGCATTGGTGGAATGAGAACATTGGACTGGATCATTATCCAGGGTCAACCGTGGTTTCATTATTCTACATTTATAGGCAGGTGGGACCAGCGCTTGTGACCACGGCAGGGAGGGGACGTCGTGTCAGCCCTCTGTGTGCATTCCTAGAGCCCACGGCCCCCCGGGACTGCAAGGCTATGTCTGCCTCACTTCGGTTTCCGTCCTGGCGGCCCCACCGAACTCACAGCTTCGTGCCTACCTGGCTGCCGGCCGTCTCCACTTGGACGTCTAACGGTACATTTCAGCTAGCACAGGCGCGAACAGAAGTTTAGATTTTCCCTCAAGATCGCCTCCTTCTCCAGGTCTCCCTCATGGCAGGAAGCACACCCCCAGCTTCCGTATCTTCTGAGCAAAAGACCTGGGCCGCCCCCAGCACTCCCCGCAGCACCCCTCCACTCCGGCCACATCACCTCCTTCCTGCTCCCTGAACGCTACTCCCAGGCTCACTGCACGGGTAGCCGTCTTAACGTTCCCTGCTGGGGTTCTTCTCCTGCAGACAGCAGCTCGGCGATCCCATCCTCAGAGACAGCTTCCCGTGTCTCCCTTATCAGGCCCCCATCTCCACCTGCCTGACCCCTGCGGTTCCTGACGCCTCTCCTGGGGCTGTTTTCAGTGTCCTGACTCTGTTTTTGGGCAGAAGTTTTTCATTATTTGCATCCACCTCCTCCTCCCAACAGGAGAACCCATTCTCTCAGAGGACAAAAGCAGACCCTAACTCTCTCGCACTCTATCCAATCCAGAACGGCAGATATTCATGAAGCAGAGAAAAGAGGGGCTCTGTGGTGGGGCGAGGAGGACTGCAGTGGGAGCAATCGGTAAACGTTCCATGTAGACGACGCAGCTGCCACCGGCCCCCTTAGCTCATTCATCCCCTGCCTCAGAACACACACAGGGCCAGCGCAGTGAGGATATTCAACAACTGGCCATGGGGCGGCAGGGGGCGGGGCGGCGTCAGCACCCCCAGGATGGCTGTTTCAAGTTGCCAAGGTGATGTCATTGGATGGAGAACTGGAAAGAGACATGGGAGCAGCCCCCATATACCCCAGCACAGCCCTCGGCCAGTGGCCCGGCCTCTGCGCATGCAGGCCTGGGCACAGCAGACACCCAGGCTGTGTCCAATGCCAAGTTTCAGTGAATTAAA